GTTGGGACATATGGAGGGGTGCTTGAAGAAAGGGATGGGGAGAGGAATGCTCAAATATTTTAATGGTTTTTGCTCATATTACATATATTTGGTGAAATTTGATATTTTTTTCCAAAAACAGAGGGTCGGAGAAAGTCGGCCCGGCGCCTAAGACTAGGTTCCCGACTCTAAGATTCTACTCGGGTTACAAATGAAACTTTAACCTAGGACTAGCATTATAAATAATATTTTTGATAATAATATCAATACTAATAATCTCCTTCCTGGATAACATAGCATTATCATCAATAATAATAATAATAATAAAAATAATCCTAATAATCATAATCATCATAATTTGATAACTATAATAATGATGATATAACCAATATATTGAAAAGAAATAAAAAAATTCACAGCATGATGATTGATGAACCATTAATTTTAATAAATAAGTCCTATAAAGTCGTCTTTGAAGTCTCATTCATTGAGGGTAAACCAGTAAAAGTTAACATCGGGAAAAATGAATAAAAATATATTTTTAGATAAAGTTGGTTCAACAGAATTAACAGTTTATCAACTCATCTTAGTCTTCTCTCCACTTGTGGCAATCATTGTAGCATTTACATCAAGGTATTTTATTACATTTTCAACATAATTTTTTTAATACTTTTATATTTTTTAATATTTTTGAAATATGTATTTAATGTTTTTTTTTCTAATCAGATCATCCGTCCCTCCTGTGTACAACACCGTGTTTGCCTTCCTGGGTTTTATAGTTTCCGTTGTGTGGATCTACGTAATAGCTAACGAGCTGGTCAGTCTGCTCAAGGCTATCGGGGTCATATTTGGATTGACAGACGCGATCCTCGGTTTAACAGTACTCGCCTGGGGAAACTCTATCGGAGATCTCATCGCCGACACTGCCATGGCTCGCAGGGGTCAACCTAGAACCGGATTTAGCGCTTGCTTCGGAGGTCCCTTGTTCAACCTCCTTCTAGGAATCGGACTGCCCTTTACAATTGAAATTCTACGCGGGGGTGGAGCCCCAATCCCGCTTCAGTTCAATGTGATGACATTGAGTTTATCAATGGGACTAGGTTCAAGTCTTCTCTTCTCCTTTATCCTTCTTCCTTGCATCAAGTTTACAGCGAACAAAACTTACGGTTCATTTCTCTTTGTAATGTACATTGTTTTTCTGGCAATTTGTATAATTATTGAGTTTTCTATTTTGTGATAAAATAGCCTAAAATTTTTATTTATAGTGTAAATATTGCATAAAGTATCGTAAAAAGTTAAATTTCATTCTATCCTTGGGTTTCATAGCTTACTGGATAAACTGATTCATTTTCATGATTTATAAGATAATATTATATTATATTAATTGGACTTAAAATTATTTATAATATTTAATTCATAATTGTAAATAGATATATTTTAATAATGTTACATTAAAAATCCAGAAATAAAGAAAAATAAATTAATTCTCTTGAAAGGAATGCATAGATATCATATTTAAAACTCTGACCCTTTATACTGTTCTGTGACAATTGACGAACACGATTTTTACACGTCGGAAAAAATTTAATTTTATTCAGAACATTCGAAAATTCGGAATTAAGAAACAGGCTGCACATGCAAACCACTTTAAGCTAATATTTTACTCCCATTTATCTTGCAATTCCCACTTGATCAATGATAAATGTTTTTATACGTTTTGTACATTTTATGATGCTTCTCAAATTCTTTCAATTAGACCTAAATCTTATTTACAATTTTTTACACTTGAAATCCATTTCAGAGTAAGATGTTTGACCCATAGTTAGGAAAGTATTATTAAATAAAGAAAAGGGACCAAATTATTAAAGTTTGGGGTCTCAATTTATCTTTTACAGTAAACTCTGTCTTTAAATTTATATTCGAGATGTTCTCCATTTAAAATTTTAAAATTAGTAAAGTAAAATTTGAGGTGGTGGAGATTACCAATTGAGGAGCGCGCTTGCCGCAAAACAGATTTGGGTGGCTGTGATTACTATTTGAGGAACTCTGGACTCCCTCCCTCACTAAGCTCAATAAACTAACGTTCAATTATCATTTTTTTAAATTTTACGATAAGAGCTCTTAAATTAATGCTCAGCTGGTCAGGATTCATGAATCGCTTATAAATTGCAAAACAGGGTGGACTTCGTGACTTCTTCCCCCCCCCCCCCCCCTACAGGAGGGGCAAGACTTCTTAAGGGGGGACTTGCATGTGAATGCATGTTTTTAATTGGCGAAAGAAAGCCTTATGACAAAATTATTAAGAGAGGTTGCGTGAATAAACAATATTTGGTCTGTCTGCTTTAGCTTCAAAATGAAAAAAAAATATCCGTAAAATGTAAATTTTTATTTTTTAATTTCCGACTAAAAAATGTAAAATATAAAATATAATTTGTTAACAGAAAAATTATCCTAAAAATATATTTTTGCAAATTTTCTCATTTTCCTTTCTAAATTCTAAAATTTATACCCTGTAAAGTGTACACTCTCACGTGTAGACATTTCTAACCTCAAGCTTCCGTTCCATTCCTTCTGTTCTGTTCTTAAGTAAAAACAGACAACACATCAGTTCTGTAACGTTTCGAGTTTGGATAAATCTAACGGTTGTCACCTGTTGTATCTGTATTCTACACTTATTCAATATTTTTAAGAAATCTTGTACCAGTGATTTCTATAACTGATTATAATGGTAAGCCTGATTTGAATCCCGCTAATGTAATTGCATTTCTATGGAAGTTAAATTATATGAATTGGGTGAAGAATTTCTTAAATTGTTTATAGAAATATATTAGTTTATTCAGTGTTTTTAGGGTCTGTCCTAGTGAACGATTTTTCGACCCCCCAGCCCCCTCTCTCCTATCATTTTTGTACATGATCATTTATTTATCAGCAAATTTATTATTATTTATTTTTTTGTTAGTTAATAAGGTAAGACACTTCCTGTCACACCCATGTACATAATTGATAGGAGGGGAGGGGGGTCCAAAAATCGTTCACTAGGAAATTACCGTGTTTTTAAATTGTTTATAATCGTTGGTACATAGTATGCCTAATTCATAAACTTCTTTTTAAATGCAATTTATTGGTTCGTAATTCCACACATGATGCTATTCATGCGCGCCATATGAGATCTATGTCCAGGTTTATTGTTTGAACGCTTGGAACAAGTTCTTTGTTTCATTTTGTCAGAACTTAAATCAGGACTTGATCACAGGATCTTAATCTGTTACCCCTGATAATCATACTATTAAATATGTTGTAAAATTGCTGAAAGTACAAAAATTATAGAATTTTTTTCTAGGGAGTAGACGTTCGGCACAACAAGGATAGGAAGGTTCGAAGAACTGAACCAGCAAGCCAGGATATCTATCTCAGACTTCTGGTGAAACTGTATAGGTAACTGATTTCAGTGGCGTATTCGGTAATTTGTCCAGGAGGGCGCTCACATGTTTTTCTTACCGTGAGATCTCGGCACCATTTAAGACCTGAAAACTACTGCCGAGCGCTGCGGCCACGGGTTAGGTTAGTTAAGACACTTTCTGAGCCGAACGCTGCGGCTAGGACAGGCTAGGGGGCCGAGCGCTGCGGCCACGGGTTAGGTTAAGTTAAGACACTTCTTGTCAGACCCATGTACAAAATTGATAGAAGGGGGGGGGGGTCCAAAAATCGTATACTAGGAATATACCTATTTTGGGAAATCCCTCAAAACTGGAAAATGTTGAGGTATTTCCGAATATTTTTGAGGCGTTTCCTAATATTTAAAGTTGAGGTGTATCCTCTTTTTTTGAGGCGTTTCCGTTTCTGAGGCGTTTCCGGTTTTTTAAACAAGTTAAACTTTTTTGTTGAGGCGTTTCCGTTTTTTGAAGAGTTTCTTTTTTTTGAACACTTTTTAAACTTTAGGCTGATTTCTTAGCTGAGGTGTACTTATGGTCGAACCTTAGGTTTTTTAATTATAGTAGAAATGGCTTACTATAGTTGATTTTCGATTGGATTTCTTTGTCATTTATGCAACTTCGGTTGTGTTGATTTAATCTATGGTAAATGAAACTACGTGTTTCTTAATCATACGACTTTAAACTATGGTAAAGTCCGAATTGTGAATCAGTGCGCATGCGTGTTTTTAAAAAGTGTAAGTGCGCATGCGTGGATTTTCAAGTAAAACCACAGTACACGTCGTCTTTGATTTTTTTGCCTTAATTGTAGAAGAATTTTTATTCCTTAAATTAA